CTTTTTCTTATATGCATGTAAGCGCATTTATGAGTACCTGTAGCATTAATTTATGCATTTTAACTAGTTTTCAATTTTCATGTTTTTTTTTACTTTTCGTGCTTGCTAGTCACTTTTCTGGGGTTGTCCTTTTCTTAAGCACTTCTACCCAAAATCTATTCACATAGGTGAGTTTTTAAATAAATCAAAATATGCAAATGGAAGGGTTTTCCTTATTCAGAATCAAAAACCGAAATCGTTATTTCATTGGGATTTTAAGCAATATAACGTCTGCTATATTTCGCGTTTCCTTCTAGCCTTATTTAAGCTTTAAAGGAATTAAGGCTTTATTTTTCCTCTAGAATTTCCGTTTTGTTATGTACGCATAATTATATAATATTTGTATATACGAGTTCATTTTTTAAAATTCTTAATATTGTCGCATGATAGGGATTCGTGTTTAATATTCAGTAGATACTGTAGATCTTAAGGAACACTGTAAAGCCATTACGTTGATTATAATCAAGGAAAAGAAACTCTTCTCTCTAGTGTTATTGGAAATACAACTGAAATTTTCGTAACAAATATGAACTTCAATAGACAAAGACGGGACAAAAAATCGTGTAAAAGTTTCGACAAGTGTTTACCTTAAGTCAAATTAAGTTTAACCTTTTACTGTAAACATCTGTTTTTTAAAGAATTTTATGGATTTTTTTTCTATTTTCTATGAATCTTATTGAAAACTTCTTTATCTGCAAAGTTCTATTAGTAAAATACAATAATCCAACATTAACTACACATTTTATTTACTTTGCATTAATCTGCCAACCTAAGATTAAAATAGTTTTACGCTACGCAAATTGATTATAGAAAGCAGAACGGCATTAACTCTTTTAGATGTTTTTTTAAATATTTACTGTTTAATATTCCGAGGCATTACTTAAAAAAATTGTATTTTATGTTCTGAATATAAATAATGGTACCTCTACAAAAATTGGTATTTTTTTAACTAAGATGAATGATTTCTTAACATAAAACTTAGCAATAATCTTATCACATTTCGAGCCATCGAGTAGTTAAGACCGCTGAATTTTAGGAGTTCGATCCCTGACGAAAGGCTTGACGCTTGGTTGGTTTTCCCCACGTGTAACATAAATATGAACCAGTTCCTGGAAATTCATCCACAAAGGCATTCTCTCTTAGGCAGATAAGCCTCTATGCTTTGTCATATTTCAGTAAGCTAACCTCATTTCGATTAAGACAAATGTAGGATAGTCGCTTTTGACTACAAAGATAGGATACCTCATTCCATAATTCGAACTTCTGATATCTTTCAGCTAATTTTTCACTCTCAGAATAGCAAGAAAGCCTTCTGAAGGGCCTTCTATTACCATTAGTTAAATATTCACCTGAAGAGGACTTGTACTAGACTATCTATCAAATTATATTTAACGAATTATGGCAAAGAACTCCAGGGTTATCTACCTACGAGAAAGGATATCTTCATGGAGGAATTTTCGAGGTAAACCTAATCGTGTGTTATTACACTGGGAGAAAATAACAAAAACGCCCGTATAGCCACTAATTCGCCAGGATCTAAACTCAGGTTGAATTGCCATTATTCAAAGGATCGTGTCTACTCTGACACTGGAGGGCCACTTAACAAATTCAAGCATTTTCAGTAACTGCTACTGTGAGTGCAAAAGATGGTCTTCAGTTAAAAATTTTCATTGTACTGTGACGGTTTCCAAAGTTTATCATCTTCTGCATAGATATTAACATTTTTCGAGAAAACTGGCTTTAGAATTTTGATTTAGATTATTTAGTACGATTGATTTAATCCTGTGTACTTGTAATGTCTTCTTGGGGAATATTAAAATTTATTAGTGATTACAGAAGATAAACTTAGCCAATATAACACTTCCAAAAACTGCATATTTCCTTGAATTTTTGTGTTGAAATAGCATAAGGAATCAAGCCAAAATATGGTGTGTGTTTATATATATATATATATTTATTTATTTATATATATATTTATATTTGTATATACGAGTATATCTATATATTTATATAGATATATATACACGGAGACATGCTATAAAAATTAACTTCTATTACGTCAAGAGCCTATCAGCGGCCGAGTGGTAAAACCGCTGAACACTGGGAGTTTGGTCCGGGGTTCGAATTCCTGCGGACGGTCTGGCTGCACGGGCATCTTCGTAATTTTTCCCCCCACCATCGGCCGAGCAGTAAAGTCGCTGAACAGTGGTAGCTCGGTCCGAGGTTCAAATCCCGCCCGGTTGGCTGCATAGGCGTTTTCGTGGTTTTCCACATGTGTAACGTGTATACGAGCCAGTTTCCCTTAGAAAATCCTCCACGAAGGCATCCCTCCCCTTAGACAGATAGCCCTAGTGTGCTTTGCCGTAATCTCAATAAACCAAACCAAACCAATCGTAATTTTTCCCATGTATACAAGCAAGTTTCCCTTAGAAAGTCTTCCGTGTTAGGCATTTCCCCCTGAGGCAAATAATCCTCAAGTGCTTTGTCATAATCATACCAAAATCTCTATTACGTCAGAAGAGAAAAGTCAAAGGGTACGGAGTATTTGAAAATTCAAAGTAGATATTTTTAATTTGTTCGTGAGATGTTATGTAGTTAGAGAAAGTAAATGAATAAGTTTAAGAACTATAATCTAAAGTAAATAAACTTTCAAAGCCGAAAGCAGTTTGTATTTGGTCCTACCAGCAGCCCCCCTCAGGGGGCTCACTTTTGTGAGTGCGGGTGTGGCAATCCCGAGGTACCCTAGCCCTTCAGGGAATCATCTTCTTGGTGAGACGGGTGTCACGATCCTGGAGCCCCAGTGATCTATCCTCTTTTCCGTCTCCTCTCCTCTTGGCTGGAACTTTTCCCCTTCCCTTCTCCCTTGTGGTTTCTCTTTTCGGAGTTTAGGGCTCGTCACAAGAAACTGGAACAGCTCTTGTCTCTAGTTCTCGAGTGGCGAGAAAACTGCCCACGTGTTTGCCGTACGTGGAGACCCGTGTCGCTGAAAAGGAGGGTCCTGGTAGTTGAGGGGCGAAGTACTGTCCCCAACACACTGCTTTGGCCTCTGCTTCAGCTAAACGGGAGGCACCTTAGTCGTCCTCACGGGTGTCAATAGGCTGGTCACTTGTGTCAGTGCCTTGGGGATAAGCTGTCGGGAGTACCCGCTTTCGGGAAAGCCGACTGTGGGGCTTCAGTTTGCGTATAGGTCCGGCTAGCCCTAACACAGGAATCTGTGTTCCCTTGTTGGGCTCCGTGGTGGGCGGGGCCGTCGGACCCGAATTTTTTCTCTTTCAAACATGGCTTCTTTCTTTATCCTTAAAAAACCCGAGTCAAATGAAACCAACCAAGATATCGAAATTGTCGCCAAATCCATCAACAAGAAGATCCGTACAGATGCAAATGCCAAAGATATTGAAATTGTTGACAATACCATTAGCAAGAAGATCCGTACCAATGCAAATGCCTTCATCTTACGTGCATGAGTAAAAACCCTTATATTTTCAAGCTGATCAAACTAAATTCTTGTTGCATTTTATTCGTAAAATAATAACACAAACTGACAGGCTAATAGAATATTTTTGTTAACAAACGTCTTAGGCTGATTCATGCTATAGCAGATTGCTTCTCTTCCACAATAGATTGCGATATGTGATACAAAGGATCTTGTCTAGGATGTTTTTGATAACCGTTTTCGATTAAAACGATATATAATGTTTCAATGTAGGTTTTATAACTGTTAGACGTAAAACTATTAAATTCATTTATAATTTTTATTCCTTTGATAAATATTTCGTTTCTAAGTGGCGGAGTAAATAAGACCACTGAACACTAGTAGTTCGATCTCCTCTCTTGGCAAACACGGCGACATGGGACTCATTGTAGATCTCCTGGTGTATCATGTAAATGCGAGCCAGTTATTATAGAAAACCGACATGAAGACCTCCATCCTCTTACAGAGGGTTACAGTGAAAAACATTTCGAAATTTTTGAATGGCAACATCCAGTTTTTTTCCTGCGAAAATCGATGAGGGCGTTAAAGAAACATAAATGGCTTTCGAACGATACACTCTCGTAATTTTGCAGTTTCGTGGCTACCACGATTTCCCGACCTCATTCCGGTGGATTTCTAGTTCTCGGGTTATCTGAAATCTAAGGTATACACATCAAATCCAAGAGATTTGTCAGAACTGAATGAAACCACATAAAATTTCAAGTTATACAGATTCCTTCTAAGATGTTGCTTTCGTCATTGTTATCAACAATCTCCCTCGTCGTAGAACGTGTTATCATCCGCTTAGGAGAGCACGTTAAAAAGTTGTAATTCCAATAAAAGACATTTCCCTCTCCTCTCTTACGTTGTCATTAGTCCTTTATATTGCTCTTCTTTGCAAGTGTTGTACACCAGCAATTTTCGTCATATGTGTATCGTTTCAGCGTCCGTTACCTTTTTTTTAATGCGTTGATCAATTTGCGCAGGAAAACGTGGGTATTTCCATTTGAAAATTTCGAAATGTTTTTCACTGTAACCGTAATCGTAATAGATCTATTGTTTTAAATCAACGCAATCTCGACCGCATACTTCCAAATGACAATGTCTGAAAATTCATTTCTATTGGGTGAGCGAATAGGTCGCTTATGGGTTCACATATCGGGAAAGTACTTTTATGACCACCCTGCACTGTGTCATGTTAAATAAAAAAAAAAAAAAAAAAAAAAAAAAAAAAAAAAAAAGCAACTGTTTAAATTTGTGTTTTTCTTGTCTTTAGTTACTCGTCTAAGTGAAGAAAATACTTCTACTGAGAACTCTTTATTTAACTTTTTTTTTTTTTTTACTGGGAAGTATATTCGAAAAAAAACTAATGTGCGTCTCTACTTTTTTATTCATCATCTGTACGCAATTATTATAAAATGCATTTCGTTATTTTCTAAAATCTTTCATGTTTAGCAAGGTTACTTAATAATTGTGGTTATACTTTCAGGTATTTTCCAATTAACGTTTATCGGAGCAAACAACTTATATTTAATGTTGTGATCAGAATTTCAGTGTGAGGTTTTCTCTGCAAAATCGGGTTCTAGATTTGAAGAGTGCAAGAATATTTCTATCCCTGAAGGTAAATTCAGATGTATCGGGAAAGTACTTTTATGACATATTTTTATTTTCATATTATTTATACTTTTATTTCATATATCTCATAAACAATAGTATTATATCACAACCATTTTTCTTATATTTAAAGCCTTCGCTGTCAACTAAAATATGTTGGAAAATCTGACACCCGAGGAAGCTGAAGCAATCAAAGAGGTAAGCAATTTTAGTTTACATTTAAAATCTTCAATGACTTATTCGAAATTTAGTTGTAATTTACAATCATTATAGGCCTTAACACCAAACAAAACTTCATTTGCTGACGAAAATCAGGAAAAACGTCTTGACTACAAGAAATATCCATTTATTTAAAATAAAAGATTTATGAAGGAGTAAATAGCTTTGCAAACTTTTAACTGTATGGGTTAAAATAATATTTTTTCAAATTTTACTAATTTTAACTTTTTAACTCCTAACCCTTAAAAATATTGTTTATATATATATAATTTTCATTCTAATAAACCATTGATGTATTTATAATTATATGTTCTATAAAGTACTAACTGAGATTTAAATCTTGCATGTTACAGCTAGAACAACGCATGAAAGGTGATGTCCCTTCTAAAATGCTTGAAGAAGTCTCTCTCTTTTACAGATTTTTGAAAGGTAATTGTTTTCAAATTAATGAAATTAAATTTATCTGTAAAATATTACATTCTTAAATGTAAACGCAGTTAAAGTGCTACATGTTTTTAAGAGCTGTCGCTTTATGTACAGTTCAGTACTTTTTGCACAAGTCTCAATATTGACAACACAATAATGATTTAGTCAGAAATGTTCTTGGACGAATTGTATCAAAAAATATATTTTAAAGCAATTTATGAGAAGTAAATTTAATTAAAAGAGCATAAGCATCCTGTATTGCTTACCTCAATGTTTTAATTTTGTACTTGCTGATTTTGCTTTACAGATGCAATTTTCTATAGAGAGTGCCCCTGTTAGTACAACCTCAAAGGGCAGATAGAGCACGTCAAAAGCATTGAGGACTACATAGCAATACATGATTGCAAGAGTCATGAAAGGTAGTATCAGAGATACTAGAAATGAACGGACCCAAGTCAGATGTACAAATTTATTTCCACATTTTAGAGAAGATGATCAAAGTTATAATCATTGCAAGAGATGTTTACGTTAACTGATGGACCATAGATTTGCAGATATTATCCAAAACACCGTAATTTTGCTTGGATATTTGCAGCAACACGTACGATTCTTGCATCCAGAACCATTTCAGACTCAATAACTGTTTCATAGACATTCAGATTTATGTGCTCTCCAACAAAAAAATTCCAGGCTGCTCATATCTGGAGAACATGTGGATCAGGCAAGCAGTCCACTACGCCCAATCCACCTTTGACCAAACTACACACTCAAATGTTTTTGAGTACATCTTCCATAATGAGGAGACCCTCTATCGTTGCGTCTCGCATTTTGTGGCTCAGGATGAAGTAAGCCTGATAGATTCTGTCCCAAACAGATGAGATAATATGTTCATGTCATAGGTGATGGTAGCAGGTAAGGCCCGACTAAGCAGTCGCCGAGTGAACCGAAACAAACATTATGAACAGCACACGGCAGCGATGACTGCACCTAACAGTTGCGAAGAACAGCTATGCATGTCCGTTAAATGACATTTGCGGTCATGAAATGCAATCAAATTCTCAATCATTTTGACAAACCCTACCCGCCTTTAAAATTTGTACCTATATATATAATATATATATATATATATATATATATGAGACAGCTGTATATATTAATAAAAATTTTAAACAGAATAAATTAAGTACAACTAAATGATTTTACAGTCAAGCACAATTTTATACCGCCATTAAAAAAATTTCGAATCCTTAAAAAAGATTTCTTTAAAAATTTTATTTCAAAATTATGGAAAGATTATTTTTGTTACAATCCAATACATTTGTTCTCTGAAACAAAGAACTCTATGTGCAGTGGCCCTGGATCATCAATACCGTCTCATAACACCGCTGAAAGCCACATTCTTAATTTTTTGGACGTAACTTTTTGAAATTTTAAGGTTTCATGCTTATTGCTCAAAAGTTCTGGAATAATATTCTCTTCTCTAAGCCTGGTTTGATGTGGAAATATGTAAAAAATCTGAACTCTTAATCCAATATTTTTCTGCCAAAATAACATTAAAAATGAATCTTAAAATTCACTAGTTTTAATTATGTATTTCATGTATTAAATTTATTTCGAATTTTTAAATCACTATTCTTAAATTTGTTTTTCATAAGACGGAAAATTCAAATTTTGATTTAATTTAAAATTACTATTCGAATGTCTCAAATTCCGAATAATAATACTATTCTTATTATTACTATTCGGGATTCGAGACATTCGAGAAATTTTTATAATTTGGATTCGAGAGTATTTAGGATTCTTCTCAGCTCTAGTTATTTGTTATTGAATAAAGATGTCATTCGGAAAAGGATTCCACTTTGATGTAATAATTCGGTAACCATAACGCTTATGTAGTATTAAGTATTATGTAGATTATAAGACTAAAGCATTCAATCTTTAAGAATATATTCTGAAAGAAAAATGCAAGGAAATCTACAAAAGGTGCTTAAAATTATAAATTATTTATTTCCTTATTCACACTGCGCATTGCTCTTTTCGGCGACAATAATGAAATTGTCAGTTAAAAAAAATGTTAAATCTTCATGACGAAAGCTTACACCGGTTTTCAACAATAACATGTTCCAAGCTGTTGAACGTTTTAATTTTTTTACTACTTATCCTGTTTACTTCTTTAGGAAAAGGACAATCGGCTTGCTTTAAACAAAATTTTAATTTTGAAATATTCCTTACTTTTCTTCCTTTATTTTTGCTTAATTTTAAATATTCCTTCCTTTTTTCCGCTGTAAGTTTTGTCCACCAGCAGCCGCTGAACACTGGTAGTTCAGTCTGTGGTTTGAGTTCCGACGAATGGGCTAGCGGCGTGTGCGCTTTCGTGGCTTTCTCAGTCTGTAGCATGTATACTAGCTATTTTTCCTTCTGAAGTCTTCAACTAAGGCATCCCTCCCCTTAAGCTGATAGCTCTTGCTTTGTCATAATCAAATAAACAGAAACCGAACCTTTAAGTTCTGTATTTTTATTATTACTTTATCATCTAGCAGTTTTGCTTTTGAAAGGTTGTTTTGATTTTGCATATTTTCTTTACGATAATCTCTATACGATCTCTTTACGATAATCTTTTTCCTTTCTTCAAGAATATATTAAGGTTTCTATAATTTTCATTAATTTTATGTTCTCAGCTGTTTATTAATTCTAATTTATTAAGAAAGCTGAAAAAGAAGCTTAAAAAATTTATTATTAAATATCATGACATAGTTTAAGTTAAAATAACACGCCGAATAAAGATTATTGGAAGAGTTAAGGTAACAAGAATCAGCGTAATATTCACAAATTTGCAGGACTAGTTTCGAAGGTTCCTAGAACATTCTTTATGAGCTGCAGAAAAGCAAATGAAAAAAGTTCTGTATTTCAACCTTCGAAACTAGTCCTGCAAATTCATGAATATTATTCTGATTCTTGTTGTTTTAAATCTTCCAATAATCGTCGCTTAGTATTCAAACACAAACGTTTTCATACATATAACAAAACAAACACAAACGTTTCATTCAACAAAACAAACGCACAAGTTTTCATTCATATGACATATTATATGCTTTATAGCATTAAAAATGCCATTACATAATTGACTTTCTCAAAATATTATAAATAACATAGATTTATAATATTCATATCAATTTTAATTCTTGCGTAAATATATTTCTGTAGCAAGAGATTTTAACCTGAAAGATGCTGAGCTGATGATGAGAAAGGTAAGTCCCTTTAAAAGATTTTAACTTTTAACTAAGATTTAATGTAAGACATTTATTTTAAAATGTGTAACTGCAAATTTTATTATCTCGTTAATTGTTAAATCACTTGGTTAAAATACGATTTCAAATTCAGAAGAAAACCTGCACAACGCAGAAATTTAATAATCTAATAATTCTTATTTTAATCATTTATCAATTTAAACTGCTTATAACGGAAAAAAAATTCTCCTACATTATGAATGTTGGTTAGTGAATAATGTTAAATTAGAAGTTTATTCCCTCTATATTACCTGCCCAACAGCGGCCTAGCAGTAAAATCGGTGAACACTGAGAATCGCAGAACTAGTTATGACTAGTTATGGGTTCCGGCGAACGGGCAGGCTGCATGGGATTTTTTGTGATTTTCTCTATGTGTAACATGTATACAAGCCAGTTTCCCATAAAAGAAAGACCTCCACGAAGGCATCCCTTCCCCTAAAATGCTTTTCTGTAATCAACTAAACCTAACCAAACCAAACCTCTATATTAGCCCTGAAAAAATCAGAAAGTCGGCTCTTCTTTTATTTTTGTAAAATTCAGCTGAAATTAAATGAAATGAACAAATATTTCCGTAATTTCATGTAGAAAATAAGTCATAAAAAACTATCTAAAGAGTAAAATAATCAATGAAGTGTAATTTAGGATATATGTGCAAGTTTCCGTGCAGGGAATTCCCAGATAAGTAAATAAATATATGTCTCTCATTTCCTTCTTTTGAAAATAATTTTACTCAAAAAACAAACATTAGCAGTAGTCTAAATGTTGGTATGGCAATTATATTCATTAGTACTTTTATAGGCTAGATTTCTTAAAAAATAACATTATATATGTAAATACTTTTCCACCTGGATCGGAATATATTGTCATCGATTTAGGCAAAAATAGTTAATGTATTTATTTCTTTAGGCAAAGATGGTTAAAGTATTGTTTGTTAATCATCTCAGATAAATACATTTTAATCGATGCGAGCATTTGTTACTCATTATAAATCGAAAAGGGTGTAAGACTGATGGTATATTTGCAATGGCAATACTCTGATTTTACTAACTGATAACTTGCTACAGAAAGTCGTACAAAAGGGCTAATATCTTGCTGCGATATTTTGTATTTACAGTAAAATATATATCGTAACATCATTTCGTGTTTCAAAATTACTTAGATTATTTAAGAAATTTTTTAAAAAATCTGAAAGTTTTCAGATTTTATATTACGTTTCAATGGGCGTTTTCTTAACCTTTTGTGTGTTACCTTTATTTATTAAATATCATGTTCTTCGCAATTCAACCATAAAATGCAATCCAACAGCAATATCGCAAAATATTTAAAAGAGCATATATTTAGAATTTTTGATGCACAGTCTAGCGCACTGGAGATAAATTTTTTTCCCGTACAGTGTTGCCATTGCTCGCTTTGAAATCGTTGAGTTTCTTAACCAAAAACTCATATATGCTTTACAAAATATGAAATAGATAATGAAACAAATTCCAAATTTGGGCTTCCAGATGCCCATATTCGGGTGGAGACGTACGTTAGTCAAAATTTGATGGCTCTAGGTATCGTTGTTTAATCACAATGCGAGAAACATTAAAGAAATTATTAGCCCTCCTAAGCTAACGCTGCTTTGGGCTAAAAAAATTTAATATTTTTGAAAGCTTTTATCAATTTTAAAGAAAATATATACTCATTTATTTTTTATAGTTAAATAAACTAATATCCTTTTAATTTGGTATACAAATAAAGATAATTAAAGTACAGATTTACACATAATCGTAATTTTTTATTCAAAACTTTGTATTGTGTGAGGAATTCTTTAGTCCCGAAAACTAATAACGTGCTAATGCAAATGGTGTATAGTAATATTTTTAATTAAAGCTCAGGGCCATGTCATTTTCGTTTTCTAATTTTTTTGTTTAGAAAAACTGTATAGATACTTTTACAATTACGATTCAAACGAGAAAATTAATTGCAGAAATGGTTTTGTTATAAGTTTTGATACCCACCATTTTTTCTCATTTGCAGCACATTCAGTGGTATAAAGCAAATGGAATAGAAGATATATTAGTAAACTATCAGCCACCAGAAGTAAGCAATTTGAAATTGATAATTTCTTTTCGCTAAAATTTTCTAATTTATGATACTATAAATACATATAGCTTACTTAATGTGAAATTTAAAGCTTTTTCAACATGCGTAAAGTTATACTCTTAATCGTAATATAATGTAACTTATATAATGTAAAATTTATAAGAAGACTTTTTCAGCAAGCATAAGTCATGCATTTAAATGTGCTTTATAGTATACATTAATGAGTACATAAATATTCTACTTCACTGTACGTTATATAATTGGGTTAAACATATAAGTAGATAAAGGCGAAAATAATGATTAAGATAACCCAAAAAAAGTTCACTTTCAATATTCAGTGTCCACTAAATACTATTTATTGAGAAGTATAGAAATTGCTATCCAAAGAGATATTATTTTCAATCTTCTAATATTTAAAGAATACTTTAAACCTCAAAAATACGTTTTTTTAAAATACAAATGTCAAGATAATTATCAGAATATATAATATATCAAATATCATCATATATCAAAATAATTTAAGTTATTGTCTTCTCTCTTCTGTTTATCACAAAGTATTTAAGTAATTCTAGTTGCATAAGTACATTTTTAGCTTTAACATCATACAATATTAAACTAGTCAAAATCAGGGCTATAGTTTACAGATTTTATTTTTTGAAAACAAATAAAAGAATTATTATTTTACTTTCTATAATGGCCAGTAATTCTCAAGTTATGCTCAATTGGATAAGACTCTGCTGATCACTGGTCATTAGCCCCAGTTGTCTTCCTTGTAAGTGCATAGAATGGTAATTAAGCTTTTTCTTAGCTTTCCCGAGTGTATAGTTGCTACAGCTTAATTCTCCTAAAACGTCTTCCATTAAGTCATCCCTTCTCAGGAACTAACTCCCGTGTTTTACCATAATACACTGCTGCCATTAAAATTGCAACGCCATGAAGAAAAGCAAATACAAAAAAGATATTATTGCATTTACAGTATGGCATGAAGACAAAATGTTTAAATTTGTAAGCATTTTGGAGGTTTTACAGGGGTGCGAAATTAGTAGAAACAGCTGTCGTTCCTGGAAGTACGAGTAAAACGCCCTTAACCCATTAGGCATGGAGTCAAACTGGTCCTGGATGACAGAAATGGGCAACTCATTCAATGCTGCTTCAGGTCTGTGCCAGACTTCCTCAACCATATTAGCTGGAGAGGGGTGACGGGCGCTCAGCAATCCATGACCAGATCGTTTCAATGGATGACATATCTGGAGACCATGTAGGCCAGAGTAGCAATGGAACACCCTGTGTATCAAGGTCAGAACACGACGTCAATATGTGATCTTGCATTATCTTGTTGGAAGATGGCGTTTCGCAGGTTTCGAAGATAGGGCACAACTACTGGACGTAAGATGCCAGAAATGTATCCATCTGCGTTCATCTGCGTGACTAGTTTAATAGACATGCGGTCTCCTCGGTCACTCCAGACACGTATACGTAATTCAGAATATTGCACGTAGAACCGTAATGCGTTTGAAAAGGCGACAAAGTGTTACTCCTGTAATCAGCTTTGTCGTCTGGCGCACCAGAGTTGCTCTCTTTATGCTGCATTGTCAAGGGAAGCCGAAGTAATAGTCACCCTGTTGATAGTTCACGCTGCTGCAAACGTCGACACACCTTAGGAGCTGATACTGGGCGGGCTGCAAACATGTCCATTTCCTGCCTAATGGTCCGTGATGTGGTCGTACGGTTTTACAGGGTTGACCTCACAATATATCCTCTCAGGCCTTAGTCATGGGAGGGCTTTGAGGTCCTGCATGCGATTCAGTATGACCTTCAGGAATACATTCATTAGATATTCGCATGACAGTGTTTGGATGTCGACCAGTGCGACCAGCGATATCAGGGAACGATAATCTATACTTTCGATAGGCAACCATCGTCCCTCTATCGAATTTTGAAACATGCTGCTAAACATTTCCTCTTCTTATTCGAGGCATAACAGGATATCCTGAGCAAACTCCAAGATTATAAAGCAGTTTCCGAATGAGAAATCCACTACACAACGTTTCTCTTATGCAGTGCTTCAAATGTAGTTCTTCCTCCTGCGGTGTTTAAATGCGCTGAAATACTGATCATTTGCGTATCCCAACCTCTACTTCCTTTCAGGTGATTTTGACGTTCGTTCAACCATTTCTTCCTGATGTTGCAATTTTAATGGCCAGCAGTGTAAAAAGCAGTTTGCCAGTAGGGCCAACTTATATACACGTGACGGTCAGTGTCATACGTAAACTGGCTCTGTGCTGCACAGAGTGTTTAGGCAACATTTAAAAATGATTTCTGAAATAATAAATTCAGTTTATTTTAAGATTTATTTTTAATTTAGCTTTGTAAACTCTTTTCTAAATACAATAGCAATGCTACTAAACATAAAATAGCAGACATAAGAAATTGGAAAGTTATTTGGAATACATTTTCCAGTAAAGTATTCGTTTTTAAAATTTTAAGAAATGCTAACACTGGAACTAGTCACGAAACTGGTTCTACAAGATGAATTTTCAATGAGATTATTGTTATTTCCAACGAGTTTTTATAATATTCAAAAGTCTAAAAACATGCTTTCAACAGGAAATCCATGCTGAATAATAATAATATTGAATTGTGTTATTATTACTGCTGGCCACTGACTAACTAGTGGTATGTGGCTTTTCATTTAATCACCTTAGATCTAAGCTAACTAACTAATCGCTGTGACAAGTGAGTGAATTTAACAAGTAAAAGCAAAGAATTTGAGGGGTATTTGTTTCTCGGCGATTCATTATGAGGAAGATTCTCTGCAGAAACTGAAATAATATTTATGGTACTAAAGGAAAATATAGTCTTAACATAATAGACTACAGTAATTGTAACGTAAAAATAATTACTTAATAATAGACGTTACGTACTTTCAGTATAGACTTAACCAAAAGGAAACTAACTGCCAGTCCCTAGAAAGTTTCATTCATTAAACTGATAACACTATTTTGAGATTTTTGTGCATGTAAATGCCTGTGATTGTGTTTATAAATGTGTAAATGGATGTTGCTACGAACAAAATCCTGTAGTTACGCATTTATGAAATTTTATGTATTTATCTAGGTTCTGGTAAAGTACGTCCCTAATGATTTTGTTGGTTTTGATAAAGAAGGATGCCCTGTTCGTTATTGTGCTATAGGAAATACAGATTATAAAGGTATAATTTTTCAAATCTATTGGAATTAGTTTGTTCAAATCATGCAAAGAAATATTTCTGAAAAATATTATTGTGTTTGGCACAAAAAATTAAGTAATACTTCCTAAGGCATAATATAATGCTGAAGTGCAATATTAATTTTGAAAAAGTTATGATACTTAATTTTATTTAAATACATGTTATATTAAATTTTAATACTTTGTGAAATTTTTCCATTTAGTTTTAATATATTTTTTAAATGTGTATGAGCTTTGTTTCCAAATGGTATCTCGCTAAAAGCGTTTTAAACCTTCTATAATCTTAAATTATTCAGAATATGTAAAATAGGCAATAAAGGACCAACGATCATCATAAATTCCGAGATCATAAATTCTATAGGGGCCAACCAGCGGCTGAGTTGTAAAAGTCGCTGAAGGCTTTGCCATTATCACATACATACACACACACATAAATTCCAAAGCTATGCAAACGGGAGTTCACATGCCCCCATATGTAAATTAAATTTATTTCTTTTATAGAAGCATGATGGTGAGATGCGAGATAGTAATGTTAGTCCTTTTTCAGAAGCGATTAAGGATGCATCTGTTTTGAAAGAAAAAATCGTAGAATCACAGCTGCCACTTTGATAGAAAATTCAGTAATTGGCATGAGAGAACCGGAAGATTCTTTCCATAATATAGTCGGGAAAGCGGGCTGAAAATTTACTGTGGTTGTAGGCATATGCAATAACTGGCTCAAAGAAGAACGTAGCACACAAAAAGAAAGTTCTGGACGTCAGACGCGGAGAAGCCACGTAGAAAGGGTGGTTATCTCATCAGAATATAGAACTGGTGTCAGAGGCTGTACAACCGATGTGGCCGCATCATCGGATGGCGAGATTTAAGGAACGGGGAATTTTTTTGAATTTAGAGAAGCAGAGGACTGCCAATTCAAAGATGGCAAAATTTTTAGAATTTACGTAAGGGCTACCACTGGTTAACAGGAATCTTCACTCTTTCCATCAAGAGTTTATTGCAACAAAAATAATTTTGACGTGGCCGGTCAAAGGCTGATAAATGAAATATTATAGAATGATTTTTTGTTTGTACATAATGATCAGTTTGGTCTCAACAGAAGTTAAGCGTGTTTTCTAATTAAACACACAGTTTTGAAACATAATATATAACACGACAACAATTAAACAAAAATTAGCATTAAAATTAAACTAAAACTAAAAACCTGAAATAAAGTAAAACTAAAATTACACGCATAACTTTTGTTATGTTAATTGTTCACTTGTTGGAGAAAAGTGTTGCTCATTTGGTGATAGATATATTGTCCCATTGCTGATATAAATTTTATCTTTCAACAGATTTTATTATATTGCCATTCTGTTGGTGATTATAGACCTCTTATACGCTTCAACGGAAGACGCTAATGATTTGCTGTCGTTAGGAGGCACTTGAAAAGCAAAATGGTCGTTTCCGCAGGCCCAGATAATTACGTCGAAACATTGAAACGACAGAAGTACGTAGGAAACGAACCGTGAGCAGGGATATAATTGTTTAGTTTCGAGATGGCAATTTTTCGTGTTGAGAAACTAGGCACTGGACAGCAGAATTTAGAGGCTGTAAAATTTTGAGAATTTAGGAAGGTAGCAAAACTTAACCGCAGAGATTGCACCAACTCTAAGGCCAGCCCTGTCAAACTGACTTTGAATGACCGTTCTGCGTCATCAAGAGCATAGGCACAGCTATTGCGAGAAGTAAAAGGTTTGCCAATATCATCCACCATAGTATACTATTCTGAATTATGGGTACATTAACTGCTTCTCAGATTAGCTTTCATGCCTTTATGATGTTCTGCCAGACTGCAACACTGAATTTAACATCATGCATGCCAAATTGAGAGCTATTTCATATCTGATGAAACGCAGTTTTGATAGGCTAAATTGATGGTCTCATATGTATCTTTCACTAAAAAGGTGACAGACGTCAGGAAGACCTACTCAGCATACCGGGCGCCAGCAGAAAGCGTTCTTGTTCAGGATTTAACAAAATATTACTTCTCATGAGCATTCAAGCCTTCATAACGAGTACTTGACACATCAGAGACTTTTTGCCGTCTGTCGCTGTTCCGTATTTGCAATTCTTCCCAAGGACAATTTTCAGGACAATACGTAGTCTTATATTGCAACGACAATGCGGAATTTCAAAATAACCATGTCACAAATCTTCCTTAGCTGCCTATACCACTTAATTGATCCACTACTGAAGATATGTTACATAAGGTCAAATAAAAGTGATGAGTTATTATATTATATTCCTTCATTATTGTATACGAGCCAGTTTCCCTTAGAAAGTCCTCCACGAAGGCATCCCTTCCCTTAGGCCGATAGCTCTCGAGGCTTTGCCATAATCGCACAGACTATTCCTTCATTAAATCTTGATGAACTTTCAGTGCGAGTTAATTAACTTGGATGGCTATTTCATAAGACGCCATTAAACGTTTTGAGTAAAAAATAAAAGCCAGCGGTGTGTTGATATAATACAAACTGTATTCATGTGTATAATGCTTATTGCTTTGAACTTCTGATCATTTATTCTGTATTGCTTACTTTATATACCTTGTAAAGATAAAAGTTGTAGCAACATTTCTTCTAGATATTCTGCTCTTTCGGAAAAGTAGATCATCAACGGTGAAATGAATTTAGTCTTAATTTTACATAGTCCTTCTTTGCTAATATATTTCAGTTTTCAATTTCGACATTATAAAGAAAATTACATAAATACTTGCAAAATATTAGTAGGTATTTGTGCTACTGTGTATGACGGCATGACCTGGACATGTTGCTTTTTCTTCTGGGCTCGCATAAAAATCCATACACGAGGGCATTTCGAAAAGTAAAGATACACCGTACGCCAGAGGAAAAAAGTTTTTGTGAGCAAGTTGGCAACACACGTGTTAACCTTGAACCGTTAGGTTTCTCCTCGCGGTCGTTCGGCATTTCAACGTTGATTCTGGTTGGAGTAGGTCGTGTTTAAAATGGCTGCGCCGATTCAGAATCCCGCCAAATGCGAAGTGCCCTCCGTCATACGTTTTCTTCATGCAAAAGGTCAGCGAACAGCGGATATTCACAAAGAAATTGTTTCTGTTTATGGGAACATTATGAATCGACAAAATGTAACGAAATGGTGTCGTTATTTCTCTGAAGGTAGGACTGATGTTCATGACGAACAAAGAATAGGTCAGCCATCTGTGATCTCTGATGCCCTTCTTCAGAGAACTGAGGAAGCAATTCGTACGAATAGACGTCTCAAATTGAAAGAATTGTATCAGATCATACCGGAAGTGTCAATGAGAACTCTTTATGAAGTTGTGACTGTCAAGTAAGGTACAGGAAATTGTGTGCGCGCTGGGTTCCAACAGGCGGCAACCTTCTATGACTGTGAGATACAAAAGCTTGTGCACCGACTTAACAAATGTTTGGATAACGGGGGTGATCATGTCGAAAAATAATAAATAATCCAGTTAATAAGATGTAAATGATGTTTTTTAAATAAATGCTTTTTTTTTTAAGGAATGCGAGCTATTGTATCTTTACTTTTCGAAATGCCCTCGCAAAATGCAAATGGACAGATTTTGGCCATCTGAGTTAGTTAAATGCAAGGAGCGGGATCGCCACTATATACTAAGCTGACGAACTCGAGTTCGTATTCTTGATAAGGAAATGACATTTATGATATAATACTTGAAGAGTGTTCAGCTTTTATCTTCTGAATCAGTAACATGGCTATATGTCTGAAGTAAATGTGCCATTGCAAAATGTAAATTGTGAATGGTATATTAAACTTGAAACTTTAGTTTTTTATATGAAATAAGTCACACATATGAGCTCATATCATCTCTAGCAAAATTCCAAATTAACGGTGTTGCCGTCGATTCTTATGAAAGGGAGAAACAAATTCTTACATTAAAGTTTCCGCTGCGACACCGATGCAGCAACATCGGAAAAGTTTCCTGAAGCTTCGAAACGGTAGATAATATTAGGCAATAAAGTGAGTCTGGTTGGCACTACTATGTATTTTCTTCAGTATGAATACTCGATTGTCAAACTGCACTATCTGATTTTTCCTTGACTGTTTTCAATGCGTGATGCGATCCTGTAGTCGTATTTCTGACTCATCCTATATAATGAATGAATATGATAAATTATGAAATGAATCTGTGAATAAAAAGGCGATATTCTAAAGTTTCTATAAACGCAAAATATGGAAATCTTTTCAAATATGAAATAATACTATTAAATATGTGCGCCTATGTCACCATACTCATTAGATGTATTATTCTTTTGGGAACAAAATCTATTGTTAATAATGAATATTATCGTATACAACAGATATTAAAAATTTTTTTCCTATCTTGGATGATGAATATACTGTTAAAAGAGCAGATGAAATCACACGTAATTATGTTGGAGAAAAATATCAGTATATTAGGCATTGAAAACCAATCGGTAATTACTTTGAAGTTAGTTTTCTTATATTCAACATTCAGACATGTATTTCCTCGAGCATCTTTTTTCCAACTTGTTTTGCAGTAAAAAGAATGCTTAAATTTTCCTTGCCTTTCTTACCTATTTTAACACACATTTCTTATATGTTTTATTATTTAAGCGAAGTTTTCTATATCTTGATTTAAAAATCTGTCTCTTTACATTCTAAAACTGTCTCTGTCCCTGGTCTTGACAACGGGGAAATTAACCTTCTTGCAATCTAACTTTCTAATCAGTTTCCTGTTCGTATAAGAGTTCCTCTTGCATTGTTCTGTGCCTTTAAAAATTATCCTTCTCTCAATATCAGGCCGTATATATTAAGGACAGTAACTCGATAGCAGGAACTCTCAATGGTATCCAAATATGCTCTGGCAATCTATGTCTCATTGATTGCCAAAAAGTTCTTAAAACTAATAATTAATTGTTTATTGGTATAACGCTGTGTCATACAAATTCAGGCCTTCTTCGAAAGACTTGAGAATGCTAAATTTGGAATAACGTCATCTGAAAAAAAAATGTTCTAAAATAAAAACTGTTACCGAATAACATTCTTCAGTTTTTCCTTATCAAGCAGAAGTTGGCTTTGGTCAATTCCATAATTTACTTCGGAAAATATGTTGACTATATTTAAAAGAGATGTTTAAGAATGAAGTTAAGAACACATATAAGAATAATAATAAATAAAATAAAATAAAATAAAATAAACACTGTGCTCACGGAGGAGTAACAGAGTGGGTATATATACTTTTGGTGTGGACAATTGCAACAAGAAATGGGGGTACACAAAGCAGTCCTATATACAAAATTTCAACGTTCTGAAACTACTCGTTTTGAAGTTATGCGAGATACATACAAACGTACGTAGAGACGCTACAAAACAATCTCTGCTGAATCCATTTATTTTAAATCAATTTTATAATTTTTTGGGGGGAAAAGAGTTCTTTATTCTGTCCATACGTACAGATTTCACGCAAAAATATCGTTAAATTGCATTCGATAACGGTCAAAATTGATATTTTCGTGTAAATATGGCACCCGGAATTTTTTGTGATTACAATACTTCCTCTCTTTGGTACAAGGACAAGGAAGTAATAATAAGTAAGATTATGCTGCATATTGTAAAGAAAAATATAAGGGGTCGAAGAAAAATATTTTTTAAAGGATCGATATAAAAATTGTTTTATATTAAAGACTGGAGAGAATTTTTTTATATATAATTTTTGTCCTTAAAGTTCATAGTAATTTATTTAATGGCTGCTTCGTTTATCTTCATTATCATAAGAGTTTTTTTTTTTTTTTTTGTATATAGTATTTTTCCTATCGATTCATTTTTATTTGTCCTTTTTGTATACTATCTTTACTTCCAATTTGTTTACAAAATATTAAATAGGTAGAAGGAAAAAAAGAAATCTTGATTTCAAAAATGAAAAATTATTCTTTATTTCATTGCAGGCATTTTCAAAGCTGTTAAGTTCACAGAGCTAACAAAGTATGTCTCACTGACAATTGAACATGATCTCGAGCGTTTGAAGAGCCAAAGTAAAAAGGTAATATCTTTCAATTTGCATTGATTTTTTGCGTAAAATGATGGGAGTAACACTCAGTACCTCATCACGAAAACACCCATTCAATCAGCTCCTTCACCTGGAGAGAGATTTTTAAGCTCAAAGCAAAAAATTAAAATCATTATATCTATGCTTTTAATGCAATTACAAATATTATATAATATTATATAATATCTCTAGTTATTGCAGGTCAAATATATCGTAATCTAATTTTTCCTCCTGAATTACATCAAGCTAATATTATTAAATAAATGTTATATGTCCATTATATGTTCATTATGCTGCTATATGTCTATTATATGTCTATTATGATATAGGTATGAATTACATTAAGCTAATATTATTAAATAAATGTTATATATAATATTAAGCTAATATTATTAAATAAGTATTAAGTGCTTCTTTTTCTTTAAAATACATTTAACCATTATCAGCAGTTGCTTAAGGAAAGTTTTGGCAAATTTCTCAAGCTATTTAATAACCCTCTTTCAGAAACAGTTTAAATTCGATTCCAATTGTTTTGTATCGAAGTTGTGGAGATGGATTGGAAATCTGTGAATATTTTGACATTAAATACAAATTTCTGTAAAACTGATAAGCTATGACTGCCATTAACTAATCTGCAAATTGTTTTAGACCGAAGACCAAAGAGACCTGTTATTTCTCAGATTAACAACAACTAGTACACTAAGATTGCTGAAGCATAATACTCCAGGATTAAAGCCAGTAGCAGTTTCCATGCTTAATATGAAAGCAGTTTTGCTACTGAGTTTAATTTATTCCTATAAATTAATAAAAAATTCAGACTTGCGTATTTCAATAAAATTAAATTTTGAAATACTTTTTTAACTTTTCCACCGATAGCTGAACACCAAACAACGGGATTTTAGTATACTAAGTATAGAACTAGTATACTAAATAAATACGCTAGGATTAAAGCCAATAGCTGTTTCCGTGCGTAATAAATACACTAGGATTAAAGCCAGTAGCAGTTTCCATGCTTAATATGAAAGCAATTTTGCTACTGAGTTCAGTTTTAATTTATTCTAATAAATTAGTAAACAATAGTATATTTTTTAACCTTTTCCACCGATAACTGAGCATCATCAATGGGATTTTAGCTGGTTTTTCGGCCACAATGTCCCATTATCGGAACTATCTTCATTATTGCGTGCTTGTGGATGGAAAATGATTCAAAGAGTTAATGGCTAAAGATCTATATGGAAGCGGGAATATGTCTAAGAACTAATCCTGCTTTCATTGCGTTCGGTTTCTACTTTTAGAAGGGTAAATGTTAAGGAAATAACCATGTTCTTTTATGTCTATCGGCCCATCAGTGTCCCACTGAATAAGATTGTTGGACATTGGAAGTTTCACTAGTGTACAAAATCAGGGGAACAAGCTAGCTGTGGACGTTTATTACCATGTATAAGTAAGTACGAACAGTTTCGCTTAGAAAATTCTTTACAAAAGCATTCTTCCGCAGACAGGTAGTCTTCATTTGCTATGCCATAGCTAATTAAATAAAAAAATTCAAGAACAATTCATGTATTTAAGGCCATTTTGCTTAGTTTTATTTGCATACAATGAAATATTTTTTTCTTTTATGGCTTAAAATTTGGATTTATGTTTTATATATATATTTATTTCCATGAAAAAATCCTTTTAATCTCGTTGCTTGTTTATTGCAGCTAGGAAAATTGCTGACCCAAATTGTTTACATATATGATTTTGATCAAATGACATTAGCCAAAGCAACTAATAAGTCAAGTAAGTATATCTAATAAATCTGTCTATAAAAACTTTTCTTTTATTAATTTTTAAGTTTATTTTATTTTTGAGATCAAAGAAAAGTAGTCGCTTCATTTAGAATTTAGTACTTTGCATATTCTAAACCTGCAATTGGTTTTCACTTACATTCTAATCTTCTAAACGTCAGTGCGTTATATTAAGCATCGAAATTTCGCCTTATTGAGTTAGAAATATTGAAAGTTTCGATAAACTGCATGCTAATCCTCGCAAGTAATGTTTGAAAATTCCTATGAAATATTCACCATTTTCAGGAATGCGCATCATGTGCAAAAAAATTACCAGAAAGATAAGAATTGACGCATTCTTTTATTGTATCTGTATTTATGCCTCTAGTTATTGCAGTCTGTCAAATATATAGTAATCTAATTTTTCCTCCTTTACATTAAGCTAATATTATTAAATAAATAAATGTTAATGGATTGTAACTGTGACTGCGGGAACACTGCTACATGCACTTTGACACGGAACCAATGCCACTCACATTCCACGTATTAATTCGATAGCTAGCCTACCGCTTAATATATGGACTCTCACTCAACGCTACGTTCATGTGCCTTGACGAGAATAGTTGTCTGTTTGAGAGTTGGTGGCCTAACGTTATGTAACCAAAGTATTCTCGAATAATTAATTACAGTACTCGGGAGCAGCAAAATTATTTGAAATTTAGAAGTTGTTGCTATAAAATGCTACTCAAACTCATTTCGAGAGCTATCAACCTGAGTTTAATTTATTCCTACAAATATATATCAAAGGAGAGGCTTTCTGCTGTCGTACCATTACACTTGTCTTATTACACAAGCCGAATCTGGAACGCTAGTAGAAAAAGTGGTATCATTACTGGTCCTTATGAAAATCAAACGTTCATCGGAACCCTATCAGTGAATGTTATATTGTATGAGTGTGATGTTATCCTAACGCAATGGTAGATCACCAATGAATAATATTACTGTTCATTATTGAAAATAAATCTGGGATCAGTGCTGCAAAAGAAACGGCGACTCTCTGCGAAATCTTTCCAAGCATTTTGCTGGGCAATGCTAGGGTGCATCTAACACAATGAATCTATTTTTGATTGTTCACTCGTTTGGGCTAAGAAGTGCTCTACCATCTCTCGCAGTCCCCAAACTTATGCCACTATGGTTATCATTTGATCCCTAAAATGAAGGAACTACTTGATAGCTTTCGTGTTTGGAACTGTTCCAAAGCTACTACACGCAACAAACAGCTCCATTCAAACCAGCAGCAGAACAAACGTTGCAACATGATTTTAAATCATGTTGCAAATCATGTTGCAACGTTTGTTCTGCTGCTGGAATGTTCACAATGTTGGGAGCTACAGTGAAGAAAAGTAAAAGTTTCACAATATTCGTATAAATAAAGTTTTTCTTTTAAAAATGTAATTCTTTGTATCATTTCCTTCAGTAAAATTAGTTCATTCAATCTCGGTAAATTTCCATATATATATACTCAGTTGTTTTATAAGAATTTATGGAGCTTTGAGATTCATTAGATACAGCTAGTTATCGTGAACAGAATAACAGCGGAGAAATTTATTGTTATATTTAATACGAAAATTTTAGTAACCCCAATTTTAAAAATTTAATGCTTGTCAATGCAATAAAATAAGCCGCTTCAATATGTAATAACGAGAATAAGGATTATTTCTAGAATATTAACTATTTCAAAGAGAGAGAGTAAATATGCCTCTCATAAAACAAAATTTATTTTGGATATTTTCAGAAGTGTTGAATTGCAAGTTTTCCAACACCTTAAAATGATTCAACTTAAATCTGGAGTGTCAAATTTCAAATATATTGTTCTATTGTTATGACTCCTATTCTAACTTACTGAAATAATTTTGGAAGTAACTAATTTTGGAAGTAATCTCCTCAAAAAATGCCATCTTTTCTATTAAATTTTACAGTTTTTCAAGACTTGCTGTGCTTTCCAAAATTACTTATGTATTTGCATTTTCTGACAGCTCTTGAACTACTTTTACAAGGTCTAAAATTATATCAGGATAATTGCCCTGAACGGTTGAAAGCTGTCTATATCATAAACGGTGAGTAATAATCTTTTAAATTAGCTTATTGTATATTAAATATGTTTCAAAAATATTTTTAAATATGAAGACTTATAATTTTCTTTAATGTTTTTCAGCTTCATTGTACTTCACTATCTTCTTTTCTGTTATCAAAACAATTTTGGCAAGAGACCTTATTCGGAAAATTCGTGTTTTCGGAACAGGTATGTATTTGATGAAAAACTTTCTTTTGTTATTTTTTTATTGTGCATTCTGTAATAGTAAACTAAAAATATTATAATAAATCTGCTAACTTTGATATTCTTACTGTTTTTTTTTTATTGACAAAAAACTGCTTAGCTACAAATGAAACAAAACTTGGCACACGGATAGTAGTATATATTGAGAAAATGATTGTAAAATTCAACTGCTGCACGTAATCTAGTGACAAAATGTGTATGGTAATCATCAAAAAGCAGGCCATCATTTTGAATGCTACAGACTTGGTAATGATTTAACAGGGTATCTAAATCTGTATGTAGACCATGTGATATAGATAAAAATTTTATTCATCTTTATTTTGATAGCAAACCACTGCATAAAACTGCAAACTGTTTCACAGATTTCGCTGCTAAACACACACACGACAACTTAATATGCAGCCAGTATATTTAATCAATATGCTCCATAGCCTCTCAAAAGTCAATAAATCTGAATATCGTGCTGATAAAGGAATTTACTTAAGGAACAGAAGGAATTCCCTTCTGTTATTTGCACGCTTTCTGCTTTATTGTTAAAAAAACTGTCATTTTTGTTTTCCATAATAAACGGTAATGCATTGGTCTGCAACGTCTCATCAATACATCGCCGTATCCTCTGGATGGCCTCATTAAACACAACATCATCTGTTGTTGATGATTGTATCCCAAACCATGCCTGCATGTTATCCTAGTATGTGACATTCAGAAGCACAAAAGTCAGCCTAATCACCAAACTTGCCTCTATTAACTATCAGCCATTGTTGTTGACTTAAAGGCAAAACTAGCATTGAGCGCAGCACTGTTCAACCAACTCATTACACAATATATATAGCGAAACACCACAGCAAGTTTTAGCGATGATATCAGATCTTAGGGCTAATCTCTGCAAAGGATGGCTAGTTGAAACCTTGTTTTCCTTAAATGACAGCGTATTTATACGCAATGATACTGCAATATCCAAATGTCACGATCATACTCCGAAAAATCTCTTCAACTTTGAATTGCAGGGCAGTCACTGCATGAACCTGGTCTGTGCGGGACCAATCACATTGTATTTTTCAAACCATTGTTTAAAAGTTTGATCCAATCTGGAACTAAATCCCTAGGAAAGACAATCGTTCGATATAAACGTTCCAAACAGCGTTTCGATCTTTATCCGACACACCAGCGAACAGAAAAGTATCCATACATGAAAAAGGCCAGTTACCCAAGTTATCAGTTCTAGCTCACGTACTTTACTAGAAATTGCTAAAATATTTACCTAATTACACTCTGAAATTTGCACGCTATTGAGATCGTTGCATTTGCATAGGTGCTGCGATTGTTGTCTTTGAATAGTGCTATGGCCGTCGCAAATCTTCCTGCCATTGCATTTCCTCTGTAAAATAATTATGTACCCTATACTTAATAAGTATGATTTACTCTAAAACCTTGAATGAATTTTCATCCTTTCGCGATTGAAAACACTCTTGAATAAACACCTGTGACCTCCGACATATTTTGAATTATTACTGTCACGAAAATTATTTAAAACTCGCATATTAACGTAAAAGCTTCGCTTAAATATAAAAAAATTCTTAATAATAATAATTTTGGAATTTATAGATCAACCCTTAAATCATCTTAAAAGTGCTCATAGATAATTTATTAAAATTATTTACATTGCGTGAAATGCTAATTCTTACAAGTATGGCGTTCGAAATTCTAGCAAAATTTTGAAACACATATTTATACTTGAAAACTTCGCGACGCATATCGTCTTGATTTACGACCCTGCATTATGTCTCGATACAGTGGTCTGGAGGCACTGCTTTGATCATTCTCACAGTTGATCTACTTAAATTTCTAATAGACTTATTAAAACTTTCACAATTGTTTATTATTTCGAATCTATACAATATTACATTACGAAAGCTTACTGTAAAACATGTCTTTTTCAGGGAAGAACTTGTGCATTTTCTCCCTTCCTTTTTGTACTACTTAGTTGTTTTTAGACCATTTGCATTTGTAGTATATATTCATATTCTAATTTAAGCTTTATTTCATTTACTTTTAATATAATAATTTTATGTAAATATACATTAATATTTGCAAAATTATTGGAGGAAAATTTGGTTATCTATTTTAGCTCGCATAATGTGTTAATTTAACGCGAATATTTCATAGCAGAATTATGAAGTAGTTTTTAGAAAAATCATTCATTTACCCGTCGAAGTATCCTAATTTAAATGTGAAACCATAGATGTAACTAACAAACTTGTCGGAATATTTTAGCTGAACATATAATGTGATTTTCTTAAAATCATTGCAATTTAAAAAATTGATTTTTCACTTTTAAATTTTATTTTTATTTTGCTTCTAAGTTACCTAAAAACTTATACACAGAAAGAGCCATAAGTCTGAGGACAGTCAAATGAATGCTGCCTAATCTTAATTTTTCTTATTTTATTCTTAAATTATAACAAGAGCACTACGTTTTCCTGAAACATCTACCATCGAATATATTCCTCTAGTGTAAATCTGTAGATGCACGCCACACACACTTTAATACACTGGTTCGCTGACTTTGTTATTCTTTAAAATGTATTTGGTATTTGTTAATCTAAGGCGATAGTAATAAAAAGTCTGATTGGTAAACCAATCAGAATAAAAACTTCGTAATTTTTTTTCTGACTGGAAGCACAGTTTGATTGAATACGAACCAAACATGTCTGTTGCAAATAAATGTCTAGCTGTCTGTTCTTTTTTACATGAAGGTCAGTGTTACGATCTTTTGTTTTGCTCTGATGGTATATTCAAAAATACAAAATGTAATGTGGGCACCACATGATTTCCTTATATCATTATTTTCCTTATATTGTCCTGTTAAATAGCTGAATTATTATTAACTTGTAAGTTATTAATAATTCAGCTACAACGTGTGTAATTCGGCACATAACATGTGCAATGTGCAGTTCAAGCATGTCCAAAGAATTTAACATTACAGCGTTAAATTTATTAGAATATTCTTTTTAGATCAACAATAAACTAATATTAAATATTATTAGACGCTTAGTTACTTCCTTATTATAGCGATTTCCAAAATTCAATCGCTAATCACGTACGTATAGCAAAGTATCGGCGAGATAGCTCAGTTGATCAGCAATTCAATTTCAGCGATTACTTCTTAAATTTGTCATTGCCGAAACATGAATATTTTCGTAATGATCTCTTCTGTAATTAGAAGTATATCAATCACTGCGACCAACGATTGCGAAAATAAAGGCCGTGTAAGGACTTTCAAGCCGGCTAAGGGTGTGGTTATATGTATATATATATTTGTGTACGTTTGGTAGTGCGGAATTCAATAAAAAAAAAAAAAAAGACAGTTATATATTACAGCACTCCCGTATACAAAATTTCAATGTTCTATGGTCACCTGTTTTTCAGTTACGCGAAATACGTACATACAATCATACATACGGAACAGCACACTATTTACACAATATTACAGTTCTTTTACACCATATAGTGTATGTCCGTGGTCGGAAGCCATCATAGCGGTGCACTCACTCACTCACCATATAGTGTATATTTGATGTTGCATATTATTAAAAGAAGAGATGCAGCAAATCTCATGTTGAGATTTCGAAAAGAGGTATTACAATCATCGATTTTCACTTTTTAGTAGCCGAGCTTTAAAAAATGAAAGTAGCTAACTTGCTATATTTAATATTTTATTCACTTTCAGTTCGTTATTTATATTCTTCAATTATTTGATCCTTCAGTATGTCCAAGCTACAATAGCCAATTTGACATTTTATTGTTTTCAAACCACGCTATATCATTACATCCTTGCGTCAAATCGTGTATTCGTGTTCTCTTCTGACTGACTTCCTCTCTTTTTATTTCATAAATCAGTTGTCCACTGTACCATCTACCCTTTGGGTTCCCACAGCCCGACTTCATATTATATACGATTTCAGATTTTTTTGGAAGTGAAAAGAATTACGTTTAAAGAGACTTTTAAAGTTTCATAATATCTTTCCTTTCTGCATTGTAAAAAGGCATTTTGCCGAAGATTTTGAAAGAACCTCTTATTTCTTAACCTTGCATGTTTCTTTGCTTACAGTTATAGCATGATGATTTTCTACTTTTCATAAAAGCTAATATGCATTTTCTCTCTTCTCCAGATGGTTGGAAAGAGAAACTGCTTGAGGAGATAGATGAAGATGTTTTACCAGCATTTCTTGGTGGAACAAGAACCGATCCTGATGGAAACCCACTTTGCAACACATTTGTAAGTTTTTTGCTGTATTTCATGTTTTAAACTATTTGATGCTCCTGACATATTTTTGTACATTACAATATTATTTTAGTACATGGAAATATACTTAATTATTAAGAATTCATTAAAATAATAGTTGTTGTAACTTGGATGAAAATCGTGTAAATTTTGACTGAAATTATTTTTAACGCAAAACACTTTTAATTATTCTGTGAAATTTTGTTTTCCAGAAGAATTTCAATCCATTTGTCTTAAAAGAATGTAGTCTGTAATTTAATCATGTGAAAAGCCTAAGCCTTTACAGCTATATATTTGCGCAGCCAAATTTATTTTTAATTCATCATAATTTATTTATGAACTTACAAAGCATTAAAATCAATATTTATTGTAATAAAAAGTTATGAAAATCTGTATATGCGGAGGGCTCACCAGCGGCCGAGTGTTAAAGACGCTGAACTCTGGTAGTTCGGTCCGAGGTTCGAATCTCACGAAAAAACTGGCTGCATGGGCGTTTTCGCGGTTTTCCCCATTTGTAACGTATATACGAGCAAGTTTCCCTTAGAAAGTCCGTCACGAAAGCATCCCTCCCTTTAGGCAGATAGCCCTCGTGTGCTTTGCCATACCTGAATAATCCCTGTATATGCGGAATCATTTATGGTGAATCATTTATGAAGTTAATCATCAATCATTTATGAAGTGAATCCTTTTAGAGAGATTTACTATTTACATTTGTGCGTTCTTCGGTTTGTCTATGAAGAAACAGTAAGATACATTCGTTTACCTGCTTCTACAACCAATCCAAAATTAAATTTTAGTTACGTCCAAATTCACAGCTCAACCTCAAAACATACTACGCCTGGTAATTACTGCGTATCTATTAACTGGCCTAGCAAAATTCCAAATTATAAATATCTGCGAAGATCGTATATAAATGTGAGGAAATGCCTAGCTATTTAAACGTGTTAAATCATGATGACTATTTTACTAGTTAGAAATTTTTCCATACAAGGATCATACGGAAGTCAAATACTATAATCGCGAAAGCTTCCTATCTCCAGTACTGAAAATAATCTCATAAAATATTTAGCTTTAGAGAAAACAAATTCTAGACATGGTGCTTCCAATCACAATGTCCAGAATCACCCTGTATAATAAATTTTAAAATCAGGAAATCATGAAAAATGGGAAGCGTAACACTTGCAGAGTTACATAGGATCGAATATCCCCATAAGGCTTCGTTCAGACGACTGTTTTTTGTTATAAATCTTTGTAGTTTAAGGCACAAAATTCATTAGATCCATGCAACAGTCAGGGAAGGGAAAGGTGCGCGTACGTAAATGTGTAGCTGACTCATTGAAACTGTCAACCGATGTTTACTTCGCTATGATTGATGGTTCTCATACCAATTTGGCTTACAATTGAAAAGTTAGAACTTTTAGGCAAGATCCTGAAGCCAATTTTTTGTGAAGTTGCAAGGTCAACGAAGCTCTTTAAATGTGTTATGACTTTTAAAACCACCGTGTGAACGACGGTAATGGCAGAGTGCATAAGACGGTTGAATACTAATAATTCGACCCACCTTCAAATCCCAGGCAATGGTTTTGTTTTGCTTTTTTAATCATATATAGCTTAAATATGAACTATGCTCTCGTAGATCGTCTTCCTAATACAGATCGCTCTCATGTGCTTTGCCTTAATCAGTAAACCAAATAATCCGTTGAAAGAGTATTGCTTACATCTTTAGATAAGGAGCCTAAGAAGGAGTTAAGATATACTGTATGCGGTTCTTTCATTAACAGTTCCGCCATCGTACTGTACCAAAGTTCGCCACAAAGTTTAATTATTGTAATGAAAATACTTGAGTGTTTCAAAAGATTTGTATACTTTAATCTATAAACCTTAGTTGACATTCGGAGCCATTTTAGAACTTATATACGATGCTAACTTCTGCACATATGCAAAATTTGCAGAAAGAAGCAATAAGACAAGATATGAGGAAATGAACAAATGATTATTTAACTGGTAATGCTGCTTGTTAAATTTTTCATACAACAGAATTTCAAAATGCCGCACGTTGCGCATAATTATATTCAAAAGACAACTGATATATGCTTAAATTGTAACGCAAATTAACTTCATACTTTTCATTGATGTAGAATACATAATTAATTAATTTCTCAGATGAACAGAAAAGTTTTATCTTAACCAATTTTGTAAGCTAATCGTAGCGTCTTAGTCAATGTTGCAAGCTATTCATGTCAGGGATGTTTCGTCAAGGGCAGTCGTTCTTGACAGTTATTCTTAATCATACTTTGGCTGGTCATGGCCATTAACCTGAGGAATAAATTTGTGTATAATTGATATTAATCACTTCGGAGAAAGTTTTCAACGCCTTTAAAGAGAGGAAAGTAATAACTTTTCAAAATCAAAATTCCTTGCTTTCCTTGTGATTAGACTTTACTGTTGATACGCTTTTCAACAGCTGACAAAGGTTATATATTGTACTTAAAAATTACAGATTATATATTGCTTATAAAATAGATAAAAGTTTCAAATTGAAGCAGAATTACCATTTTGCATTTGTGTTTCCAGATTTAAAAATATTATTGTATAAAAATATATCTAACGTATAAACAACATTTGTCACATGTCACAGTATTAAGTATTTTATTAAGTGTTAAAAAGTAATTCAAAACATCCTTTTTTTATCAACTTATATACAAAGCGTTCACAATGTCCTTACTTACCCTTACTCCTTTTCCCAATCATTGGTCGTATATATGTACTTCTAGTTAGAAAAATGTTGTAAATGACACAAATAATCATATTTTGGCATTTTTAATTTTAAATACTTCAATTTTATCAATAGTACGAAACCTAACTTTTTATACATTTCTCCATCCCATATGCTTATTCGTAGGAAAATGTTGTATTTGTTATAAAAAATACGACGCAAAATGTTTGATTCTTCTACGACAAAAAAACTGATGCAGGTAGTTAATTTTAAAAATCAGCGATTTTTGACACCGTATTAAATTTGAACTGAAGGGTCAGTTAATGAATAAATAAGAATAAATTGAGGTTGATATTTCCTGCCTTAAATATCATTCAATAATGCTGTTTTGTGATTTACTGGTGTCTTTAATTTATAATTTTATAACATATGCAAGTAATTTAATGTTTTATATGTTAATTTAATAATAACTATATGTTTTATGTGTTTATGTATTATATGTATACTAATAATTTATGCCTTCAAAGACTATAAATGCATTATTGATAGTTTCATGATGTTTTATTATCTTAGAGTCATAACCTGATGATAGTACACAAACTGATTAAAGTACAAATACTTTTTATGCTAATAATATTACGAGCGATCTTAGATTTTAAAAACAAAAAGAAAAGAAAAATATATTGATCAATATTTTTCACTATAATCCACACAGAAATGTTTGTCACGTAATGATTTAAACATCAGAAAAAAATTTCGAAACGTTATTTTATTTTTAGTGCAAATGCAAACATTTAGCTTCTTTTAAAACTTAAAAATACGAATACAGCGATCCTTTCAACATTAACAATATTTTAGTAGTTGGAAGTATATGCCCACGACCAAAAGTTGCGAAAATAAAGGCCGCGTAAGGACATTTGTGGCACGTTTCATGAGTACTGTGTAAAATATCTGATTCTAAAAACATGTTTCTTAAATTAATTTGCTAAATATGAGGGTTTATGTATGGTTATATTTATTTTCATAGATTAATCATGGTTATCCAGTACCCGAAAAATACTTTTTCAAGAGCAGCGAAAAATCATTGTCCCAAGTTCCAGGAATCAAGAAACTTATGGTCACACGTTTCTCCAGCGTCGATATGACATTTGATGTTGGAGAACCTGGGACAGTAATTGAATGGGAATTCGAAACGAAGAGTAGAGATATTGGGTTTGGACTATTTTATCAAGAAAACACAAATGAAGAAGTCACTGAAGTCATACCCAAGCAGAGGATAGACACAAGCATGGAACCTGAATTAGGAATGTTTAAATGTGATAAAGCCGGCAAATGTAAGTATTTTTAGTCACATTGTTTTAGTGATGAAAAAACGCTAATAATTAACCTATCACATAATGGGTAATAATGATTTACGAGTAAAGTGTATTTCTATCAGATAGTTATCTAAAGACTAGCTATATAATTAAGCAAGAACAAAATAAAAGAAAGGAATCAGGTCATTGTATTGAATACGATCTTATTCCCTTCTGAATGTTTTGATTCAAACATAAATGAAATTGCATATATATCCATTGCCTTTTCTCAAGCAGCAAGTTTCAGTTTGCTTTCACAAAAGGATATTTCATCTCTTAATTAGAATATTACACTGCTCCTAGAGAAAAGCAAAATGACCAAATCAATAACATTTGTCTCTTATTTTATTTTCATATTTTTGTGCTACTCTAGTCTATGTTTTTATAAATTTCTGAGCTGCTTTAAAAAACATGTTCATAATACTGACATCGGGATTGCTGCAAAGCATAGAACATGTAATAATTTCATTTTATTTTTTTTTGGCGTTGTCATTATATGCCACTGTCGTCACCGTTTTGCAGAGTTACAGACTGCTAAATTTCTTTGGCATGAGAAATCTGAAAAATAAACTGTGTCCTTTCCGAGAGTTGAAACACAAATCTTCCAATTACTAGGTGAATGTGCTAACCATTATAACACAAAAGGGCATACGGGAAGCATGTAATAATTCCTAACTCGTCCATACCCCTAAATGGGCAACTTAAAAGAAGCAAAAGACCCTATTGACCAAACCGAAGTAGGAACAATTATCGTCCGTTATATTTTAAGCTTGGATAACAATGTAAAATCTGTTAGGTGTTTAGAAACAAGAAACGTAAAATATCAACTGCACTTTCGCCGGGAATGGAATCGAAGATCTTTTTGCTGATACATGGATGTGCTAATGACTACGCTATAGTTAAGCGCATGGAAGGCATGCCATAATTTCTTAACTATCTGATATTGTTTATTTTTCTTGATTTGTCATTTTCACTAAATATTTTCTTAACGTTTCTTATCTCCCTCTGTCTCCACATAAATAATGTAAGTAAAATGTGAGAAAATTTTAATCCATTATTATTGACAAACCTAATAAATAAAAACATTAAAATATGGAGATTGTGGTTAAAGAAAAAAAAAAAAGAAAGAAAAAAAAGAAAGAAAAAAAAAGAAAAATGGTAAAATTGTAACCCTTTGTCAGTTTTACAATTTTGCTTTCATTTTTTTATCATAAGCGAATCACAATTTCTTATGATCAGGCGCATTTCTGAGTTTACTTCTGGATGAATTTTAAACATTTTGAATAATATTTTAGAACAATTAGTAATGAAGAAAAACATAATAATAAATAAAATCAAAGTCGCACAAGATGCTGCAAAGTTAATGTCAATATGTGATATTAAATTGTTAATTTAAATGTTTAGACGGCTTGACACTGACTAAAGGTTAAAATTCACACTTGGATTTCTTATATATGTCTGCATGTATATATGTATTTTCTACTTAATCAAAAATTAACATGTAACAGTAATATAGAATATAAAAGATAATAAAGAATAAAAAAGTACACAAAATTTTGAAATTTGTGTACCTGTGATTTCTTCTGTAGAATTTTAAGTCTTGGAGACTTTATAACTTTCTCTGATCAGGCTAGTTTAACAAATTAAAACTGCATTAAAGTTTTCTTTAAAGAGCTATGAAATATCTAAAAATATTAAATAAATAGCCGCTCAACCGTACTACACAAATAGCTATTGTTACTATACAAGTAGCCGCTCAACCTTTAATCATAGTTTTAACTTTTTCTCAACCAAAGTTATCCCAAACATTTTTTCAGTTAGATAATTAGATTTCCTTGAAGCTTTCCATATGTTAATTTATGTTATTATTATTATATTATGTTAATTTATCCAAATGTTTATGTTAACAAATGTTAATTTAGAAGTCAAACAACAAAAATCAGCGTTATTTATATTGTAGAGACATTAGGAATTTTGGAAGCAGGAAAGATGAAAATTGAGCAACACCTTCGCCGGGAATCGAACCACGAACCTCTGGAATACGCGACCAGCGTGCAGACCACACCACGAAGGCATGCTAGGAAGGCGGGACAAATACCTTATAATATAACGCTGATTGTTGTTGTTTGTCTTCTAACTTGTTCGACGTGTTATTTTATCTTAATTAATACAAATGTAGCAATTAATGATATTACTTCCAATGTAGTTTTTCTCAAAGGCCTCAGCTCATAATTTTTTATTCCTTTAATTCTCTTTTATTCTGCAGTTGACGCTAGGATAGTTCCTTCTTTTTTACTAATATATTTATTTTATTTCACTAATTTAAATGACGTATTTCTGGACCATAGGACGGATTGTTTTTCTGTGCAGAAGAGAGACTCCGTATCTGGTTATCCTGAAATAGATAGTTTTTTTTAATAAAATAAATGCTACTCTAAAATTTGAAGTAGGCAGTTTTCCTTTTTTTTACAATTTATTACTCTTTTACGAAGAAAAAGATTAAAAATGATAAAAAAATTGAAAATTGCGATTACTGTTATGACACAAATTGAAACTTACTGACTACATTTCATTGATAATAAATTATAGATAAATTTTATGATATTTTTAATTTCTTTGTTAAATAATATTTTCATTGCATTTTAACTGATAAGTGCTATTTTTTTTCAGACATCATGGTATTTGACAATTCGTACAGTTGGTTACATCCAAAGGAAATCTATTGCCGAGCAACACTAGTGAATCCAAAAGATGAGGAAACACGATCAGCATAACATGTTGCAATTGTTTACATGGAAAAATGCGTTTTTTATTATTTTTCTTTGCGAATTTTAGATTGTGTAACAGGCGTTTCTTGCCTTTAACGGAATTTTTAAACACGTGTAACTATGCTTTTCAGTGTTTATTCTGCTCAAAATCTAAACTTCAATGGACATATCAAGCACATCACGCAGTTTCTGAGTAAAATTAATTTCCAGCTATAAAGTGTATTGCGAAGCATAGCTTAATTTTTGTATCATTGTGCTTAATCTATTAATTGTATGAAGTGTTTATGTAATGTCGTCCCTAATGTGCAGTTTTATTTTTTCGAATAAATATATTTTATTAAATTTTTAGAGTGATTACTTTATTAATTTTTATGAATTTTTACGTTAATAATAGCCTTCTATTAATGAAAATTATTCATTATTTTATTTTGCTTTTATGTACGGATATTTTTAAAGTAATGAACTGTTATATTTCTGCCGTTTATGATATTATTACATAAGTTGGGCTCTTAAGTCATAGTAATTCAAATTTTTAAGACTCTTGATTTATACCAGGAGTGAGTTAGAAATAGAGAAAAGAAGAAGAGGGAAGAAAATGAATTATATGAATTCACCAAGTTCCTAAACATAGAATATTGTCTCATAAATTTAAAAAATTATAATTGTTTCAGATTTCGAATTTTATCAGTTTCTTCTAAACAGAGGTACATCTTACAATTTTTTGAAAGCTATTGAAATAAAACTTACGAAAGCGAGTGCTCTTCAGTTTCTTAAATACAATGGATAGTGTACAAGTCGTCCATGGAAAGAGGATGTTTACACTTGCTGTCTTGAACACTTGCATCAGAGTTTCTTACAGAGATAATAAATCTCAGATAAAGCGTAATAGATTCGTATGACGCAATCTGCCTTAAACGAGAACTCGCAGTGATTAGATTTCAAAGCAAGAAATACATTAAATCAGAAATAAAAATCGAAGGAGCTACTTTGAAAAAAATAGTTGTGATGATATTTTTCTTGCTCCGGTTCAGATTTACATTTTCAAAATAGTCACCAGCTCATTATGCAGAAAAGTTTTGAATTAATTCCACCTTTTGAAAAAATAACAACTATGATACGCAGAATTTTGTATCTATTTCTAAAATGAAAATCTTCCAGAAAGAATCGGTAACGTGTATTTATTATTGAGATATGAACAATTTTCTTCTTTTTAATAATTTATCTGAACTAATTTCGCATTCATAAATTTCCAAATCAGATCATCGTTATTTGGTTAATCTTCAGTAATCTAAATGAATTTAGTTCGTAACCATTTTCTAAATTAACAAATTTTAATTAATTCAATAAATAATTCATTCAATAATTCAACAAATAATTCTTGAAACGTGCTGAAATTTTCTCTTTTGATTCAAATTCGCATAATTGGTCGTAGGGCTAAATTCAAGTGTTAGATACCCAGCCTGTGTTCTGGGAAATCCTAACATATCATTAATCACTGCTGCTTCACCTTGCTTTAAACGACCTCTCCCATACACATTTAAATACATATGTTTAATTTAGGTGAATTTTATTTTCACGTTCGGTTTTTCTTAACTTTTAAGTGGTTGTTTCAACATTGCTTCTCTGTTTCTGAGTTTGTTTGAGTCAGATCCCAAAATTACTTTTTGGCAGCCTTCTCCCAACCAGATTCCCTTTGAAAGTTTCTCGTGTGATATTTGCAGTGATAATACAATATTTCATAGGAATGTCTTAAAAATTCGACACTAAAAAAATCCTCCATTGGAAAGCTTTCTCCCCTTAGGCAGATGGCTTGAACATGCTTTGCCATAATCAGGTAATTTGAAATTGAATTAAAATCTAAGCAAATTAATTGAAAGCTTTGCCAATTAATTGAATATAATCTAAGCAAAATCTAACATGTACCTTTTTTTTCAATTAAGGCTGGATGTTAGTAATGTTTAACGGTTGAACTTGTAGAGACATTAGGTATGTTTTTGGAAGGAGGAAAGATATGGTCACTTTACTTAACCTGTTCCGCCAAACTGAGTTAATGGCACTACAGGGTTAGGAAGTTATCCTATTCATTGCTAGCAATCTGACGGTTAGGCCGCCTTTCTACATTTTACTTTAATCTGTAATTTCTTGGATATAATTATTTTCATTCACTTGCTTCATTATCTCTAAGATGGCCTTGTTGCAGTAATAGTCCGTGAACAGTCTATTCACAGGATATGTGATGTAGTCGGAAGGAAAGAACTGCTGTCGAAGGTGCTCTGTCAGAGGGCAGGAGAGCAGGTAATGAAGTGCGTCCGCGTCTTCCCCGCGAAAACCGCAAGAACAGTTGACGTCCCGTCTGAGGAAACGTCTGTAATACGCTGGGAATTTCCCGTGGTTGGTACAGGCTTGGAGGAAGAGTCGGTTGCATTTCAGCCTCTTGAGAGAAGGTATTGGGAAGATGTTGTAAGTAAATCTTCCTGTCTCTTCTTCCTGCCATCGTGATGACCATGTCTCTTGAAATGCTGTCTTGAGGAGCCTTTTTGCAACTTCTGCGGAAAGCGGAACTTCCTTGTCAATTTCTGGTTTGAGAGCTGCAGTCTTAGCTAGTTCATCCGCTCGTTCGTTGCCCTTCTGCCCGGTATGTCCTTGTATCCAGTTGATCTTTAAAGGTATGGAAGAGCCTAACGTCAAGAAGATCTCTCTAAGTGCTGCCGTGTGCGGATGTTTTGGAGGAAAGGAATTCAGCGCATTCAGAACGCTCATGCTATCTGTGAAGAATGAAGTGTGAGCTGCTGGTTGTGTACCTAACCATAGTGCTGCTTCTTTGAGTGCTAGGGACTCGGCTTGGAAGACTGAAGCATGATCGCTTAGACGGAATTGTGCTTGATAAATTTCTTCATTGTTCGAAAAGACCGTGAACGCTGCCCCTACTCGTCCTGAAATTTTTGAACCGTCAGAAAAAATCTCTCTTTGTTGTCCTGAGGGTGGCGATTTGCACCAGGAAAGGATGGGTAGATCTCCTGGGTGTAAGTTAGGGGAATCTTGGAAGCTTTCTATGCTGGCATATGATAGATGTAAATCTTTTTTAGTGTGAAGGTCCTCTTTGTAATGTAGAAGTCGATAGATTGATCTTTCTAATTCTGCTTTTAGGTCGAGTGGGAGCGTGCCAGCTAAGACCTGAAGTGCTGCGGTTGATGTGGTGCTATACGCACTGGTGATTTTTAACAGGATTACTCGCTGTATTTGATGTAGTTTTTGACATATTCTTGCTGTGCCATTCATCCAGACTGGGCAGCCGTAGAGGATCATGCGTTCAATTGCATTAAGGTATAGATGTTTTAACAGGCGCCCCTTTTGGCTCCACTTGTCTGTGATTATCCTGTTTAGTTTATTGATGATTCGATGCGTCTTATCTCGGACTTCCGTAAGATGTGATACCCACGTGAGCTTCTTATCAAGCGTGAATCCGAGGTATTTAATGGTATTCTGGCGTCGCAATGGATGCCCTTCCCACTTTATGCGTGGTGGATTCGCGTCTATTTTTGAACTTTTTGGAAAGACTATCATCTGTGTCTTTTCAATACTGAAACACAGTTTGTTGTCTTGACTCCATTTTGCAAGCAATTTGAGTGCTGCGTCTGCTTTACGCTCTATTGTTGTCCTATTGCCTCCGTCTATTATGAGTATAATATCGTCGGCGTAAGCTTGTATCTTGGCATTGTCTCCAAAGTTGATGTTCAGCGCTGAGTCTGCAATTATGTTCCACAAGATGGGTCCGATATTAGACCCCTGTGGGGCTCCTTTGTGGTAATTCATCGTGATATTTAAGCCGTCTCTTTTGTAGGTCACTTGACGTTCTGTGAGGTAGCTTGCGATCAGTTGGTAAAGATTCTTTGGACATCGCAGGTCTTTTAGTTTTGTTTTGAGCGCTGGCCACCATAGTTTATTGAATGCGGAAGCTACGTCAAGCGATATTATACACGTATGGAGGTTATTTTGTCTGTTATTTAAGATGATGTCTTGAACACGGTTGAGGGCGTCGGTGGTGCTCCGCCCTTTAGTAAACCCGAATTGGGCGGGGTTTAGTAGTTTGTTTTTGACCAGGTAATACGTTAATCTCTGCGTAAGCATCTTGTCAAGGACCTTGCCCCACGCTGAGAGTAAGCAGATAGGTCTGTAAGAACTGGGCATGGACTTTGGTTTTCCCTCTTTCTGGAACAATACTAGCTCTGCGTTTTTCCATTCCTTTGGAAAATAACCTAATTCAAGGCACTTGTTAAAGAGTGCTAGAATTTGTTTGTCGTCCGCGAGCCTAAGCTCTTCAATGGTTTCAATCGTGAGGCCATCCAGCCCAGGAGCTTTACCTCGGCGTGTTGAGTTTATCGTACGTTGCATTTCTTCGAGTGTGAACGGCTGATCGTCTTCCGAGTTTGGAATCTCGGTTGATTGGGAACGAATATCTGCATGGTATGTAGAGTCCTCGTTGGGGTCGTCTTCTGGAAAATGGAACCTCATGATTTCTCTAATTGTATCCTCAATTGTGCTCGTCATTGTGCCATCTTCTTTTTGAACTGACTGAACCTATCTGTAATGGATCCATGCTCTTCCCTTTAGCTAGATCGAAGTATGTTCCGAACGGAGAGCTAACAGTGATTTTGTTCCATGTCATGTCCCATGCTTTTTTTCTTTTCTTTATACATCTTTTGCCGGTACTGTGCACGTACCCTCTGGTAAAGCAGCCTGTTATGGGTCCTTTCCTCTCCAGTTGTTTTTTGGAATCTTTTCCTTGTTGCTCTGACCTTTTTCCTGAGAATAGTGAGATCTTTTGTCCACCATGGACAGGTGCGCGATCTTGGTTTCGAGTTATGTGAGAGAACTGTTCTTTGATAGATCTCGTGAAGACTAGTGGTAACTTCTCTTACATATTTATCGATTTCTTCGATAGTTGTCAGATTTCTAGGGTCTGCTAAAGATTTTGAGATATACCTTTTGAAACTTAGCCAGTCGGTATGTCGTACATTGATTTTCGATCTTCTCCATGTTGGGTAATGAATGCTGGAGACGTCAAAATAGATATTATTATGATCGCTATTGTTTGCTTCGTCCGTTACCTTCCAATTATCGATCCGGATTCTGTCTCTACTTATGATAAGTGTGAGGTCAATCCAGCTGTTACCACTTACTCCTGCGAAGGTTGGCGTATCCCCTATTTCATTGACTATCGATAGTCCAGTGCTGGCAATGAATTCGCATACTTTGAGGCCTCGTGTGTCCGTATTATGTGAGCCCCATAGGGGACTTTTGGCATTGAAATCTCCGGTAATTATTGTAGTCATGTTGTTATT